CACGTAACATCCAGAAAGGCGGATCAGCCGGGTCAACGGCTGCAGGCGACCTGGACTCTGACTGGAGGGTTATGAATTAAAGCAGGAAACCGCATAGCGCTCACAGTGTGTACAAAAGATAAAAGGTTTGGCCCTCACTTCATAAAACTGATCCTCTGAGGCGGTTTGAGACTGAAAGGTTTCTGATTAATGAAACAAAGCTGAGACTGGAGATATAACAGCAAGTCCCAAATGTTTTAGCTACTGCTGAAAAACCAGCACACAATGCCTTGTTACAGAGTTCTGCTTGTTTCACTTTTTGTCAAACTTAATTGATTAAGGAAATTAATTTGAGAGACAAAAAGCTATCCAAACCAACCTGTTCCTGTTAGTCATTTTGTTCTCACGCCTCATGTCATCTGCACCTTCTTGTATGGGGGGCAAACTGTTTGTAATGCTGTAAAGTGAGGGTTTGGGGGGTCAATGGCCCCCTGGACCCCCGTGTTCCGGCACCTATGAGTCGGGACCTCTACGTTTGTTTTTCCCAGTCTGTGATCAGACTCACAATATGAGCTCCGAAAGAAAACGTGACAGCACTTTTCATGTGCCTGGTTTTTTGTTGCTTAGTTGTTCTCATTTTCAGACTTTGTGTTTCACACTTTCAGTTGGATTTTATTCAGCTCATCCAGGCATTCTGTTTCATGTGCTTTTGTGTTTTGTCTTGCATTTTGTATCCCTGTTGTGTTTCTTTAGTTTATTCCCTGGCTGTCAGTTAGTCTTGCTTTCTACTCCACACTTGTAAAAAAAAAACATTTAGCTGAACAGCTAACATGGAATTTGACTGATGGCTCATTGAGATTCACTTTGTTGATGCAAAAATACAATTTTCGTGCAAACCGTGTTGACTCTGAACTCTTTTTCTGTTGCAAATACAACAGAAAATGGTTTAAGACTTTGTGAAAAGAGAGCAAGTGGTTACAAAATCATTTCAACCAGGTTTTAAAGTTGTAGCAATGATTGGTTCACCCTTCTATTAATACGAAAGTCAGTGTTTAAGGACAGACTTTGAAGCACTTGTTGAACTGTGTCTCAAGAACATGTATGAATATGTATTAAAACTGCAGTCTCACCTTTTTCCCATAATGTCTACCTTTGACCTCAGTCACTGATTTCTCTTTCACAGTTCTCTGTCAAATGAACCGAAACCTTTGAAAAACCTGTTCACCCCCTCACCAGTGGTGGCGCTACACCACAACCTTCAAAGAAGACATGAGAGCCACTTCCTTCTTTACAACATGTAAACAAAAACAGAGTTTCTCCCCTTTAGCAGCTGTAGGATTTCTCTTTTGTCTTTGGTAAAAGTCCATTTCTCCTGCTAGCTCTAGATTCTCGCATTTGGTTCTGGTTCTGTTCTGCATCCCCAGAACCAGAACCAAACATGGGGAAGCAGCATTCAGCTTCTATGCACCATGAATTCTATGCAGGACAATTCCAGAAAACTGCAAAACAACCGAAACACAGAGTGCCTTTAAATCTACATGGAACATGTTCAGCATTGTGTTTTAACTCTAATAAATGAAACATTGACCAACATATATGATGCGTACTGATATTCTAGATGACAGCACTTATCAAAATGCTACCATCAGGTTTCTCAATTTTTGACTCTGTTGTATTTATGATTCCTTATTCTTGTGTTTTATGATGTACAGCACTTTGAACGGACTTGTTACTGAAATGTGCTTTACAAATAATAATAATAATTATAAAAAATAAAAAATCAGAAGTTTGATGACACATCAAACTTAAATAAAAGGTATCAGTATCAGTGTTGGTATCGGTGATACAGGCCCAGTCTTTACTTGGTATCGGATCGACACTGAAACATGTAGTATCTCATCTCCAGCGTAAAGATCGGCTTGCTTCTTTATAGCCCTCAACAAAAATATCCCCCTCGTGTTTCCCGCTGCAGCGTTGAATCCTTGCTTTCGTAAGAGATCTAAAGAAACTCCATTTGCATGATGTCTCTGCTGTCTCCGTCTTATTTAATGGCTCCGCCGAGAGGAGCCACGGCCCCGTCATTACTCCAGCTAACAAGTTCGTTGCACAGTCCTTTACTGTTTTTTTCCTTCTGTGACTTAGCTCAAAAAGATCATCCTGAATAAACCGTGACACTTCAGAGGGAGCTGGAAGCTCTCGTGGGGAGCATGAGCAGGGGAACCCCGCCCTCTCCACCTTTCTTGCAGAGCAGCTCGGTCCATCCGAGGGTCATTACCGAGCTGTGACGAGAATGCATAACGCGTTGTGATGGCGAGATGAAAGGGCCTGAGGGACTCGTCCATCAGTGCGCCAGGCGCCGTTCATCTCTGCATTCATCATGGTTTAAAGTAGCTCTGTGGGTCGTGACTGCCTCCCGGGGAGCATTGTTGACACCAAGAGGAGTTGATAACTACATATTGACACTCAGAGCAGTGAAAGAGGGCTGTAAAGCAGAGACTGGAGGACTGGAGGTTGGACTTTGCTTCCTACTGCAAAGTGAAGTACTAAATGAGGGGATCTACTGCAGAGAGGCTCCAACTCAGCTGTCTCCCCTGCAGCTGGGACATCAAAGCACAGACTGCCACCTGTGAGAGGCTCTGGATGTGGACACCCGTACCGCCACGGTGCTGAGAGGAGTCCTGTGGGGAGCGGGAGTCAGGCTGGGCACGGCTGCTGTGGTAGCCTCAGGCTCAGCCAGCGAACAGAGATGGTCGTGGTTCATAACAGAGGGTTCTACTGCCCACCATCTACTGTACAATATGAGAGTAATATGTAATATCACTTCTGTTTTTGTCATATTTAAAAGTTTTCTTTTCCTCAGATGAAGATAAACTGTGTAAGTTTTTGATGATTTGATATTTTATTTCTTAAAGGGGCAGTGTTGTGTGAAATCAACTTTTTTGAGCTGTCCATTATGTCAGTGTGGTTCCTGGAGCGTTCTTTTGGTTCTTTTGGGCATTTTTGAGAAGTCCTTTAATCTCCATGGCAACCATTCAGCTGTGCAAAACGCCTGAGTGGACCTAGCTGCCTGAGTGGACCTAGCTGCCTGAGTGGACCTAGCTGCCTGAGTGGACCTAGCTGCCTGAGTGGACCTAGCTGCCTGAGTGGACCTAGCGGCCTGAGTGGACCTAGCGGCCTGAGTGGACCTAGCGGCCTGAGTGGACCTAGCGGCCTGAGTGGACCTAGCTGCAGTTTCCAAGCTATCGTCTGTCCATCTCACAGAGCAGGGCACCTCTATGACTCCCTCACTCAGCTCCTTTTGACTAGCCAGCAGCAATTAGCAAACACCTGGGGGAACTGGTCAACTGAGCTTGTTATGTGAGTAACGTCTCAATGAAATGCTGGTAAAAGGAGCCATGTTGGGATGACTTCCTGAAGGCAGAGTTTCAGAAAGAGGAGGAGCTTTTAAAAGTGAAAAAGGGCCAATTTCAAATCATTAAATTACAAAGTTAAATTTCTTGATATCATATGGCCCAAAATGAAAATGACTGTGACACCCCTGGTCTATAACATACAGATATAGGTCCATCACAGAAACAGATTTCACTTTTATGATAAACAGCAATATTGTTGTTTTGAGACCATGTTCAAGTAATAAATTGATAATGGCATCATAATGCAAGAGGCATTTTAAATATCCAAAATAAGTAAATGAAACAAGAGAAACAACAGATAAAATGAATTATGAAGTTTCTGGAAACAAAACACTAGACCAAAACACCAGACTGAAGCGTTTTAGACAGGAAAAAGTGAAATGATAAATCATGCAAACAAAAATGATTGAGATCTTTTGAATTTATCATGACATTAATTGTTTTGTTGCTTCTTGTGACAGGCCTGTCCCCAAACCAGTCCTCAAACAGTGACCGTTTGTATAGGACAACAACAAGTCCTCATCTTGATTACTTAAAACAACATAAATACTATTTGTTTTTTTATTATAGTTTCATATTAGGTTGGCACAACAAGTAACTCCATTCAAAGGAGGATTATTCTTTTAAGTAGATTGGTTTGAATGACTTTTTTTTCTCTTATTAAATGAAACTATTTAAAAACTCTATTTTGATGTGACATGTTTTTGTTGTCTGGGAGACTGAAGTGTGAAACAAACAAACAAACAAACAAAAAAGAAGAAACCCTGAAGAGAAGAAAGACTTTTTCGCAGCTCCGTCGATCGATGCGACCTTTGCAGCCCAGCGGAGCGGAGCGGCCGTCTCAGCCGTGTGTGTTACGGCTTTGCAATTAAAATTCAGAATCACCTTGTCCAACATGACACAGCGTTTTCTCAGAGCTGACACAGCTCCCCCAAAGCTGAAAAGACTGAATAGTGCTGACCCTCGTCAGAGGAGCTGGACTTTATGAGCCCAAATCTGCAAAGAGCTCCTTTTAGAAGAGCTTCAAACTGAGAGAGTCTGGCTTTTTTTTTTTCTTTTTTACTCTTGACATGATTTGACATGATTTTTTTTTTAATCACTGCGACGTTTTCAATGTAAAAGATTAGCAAACAACCCGATAGTAAACCCGATAAGAGGGGGCAGGGTGCAGTAAGTTGTGAAATAAACAAATGTTAAATGCAGTTATCATCATTAAATGCCTCCCTTTTTTTTTCTTTCTAACTCGATTTATGACACTCACCATGAGAGGAATGAGAGGATTTAAAAAAAAGAAACAAAACAGGCTCATTAAACTCCACTCAACAGACATTATGTGGTAACTAATCACATTACTTTGACACTGCGAAGCTTCAATCTAATTCTTTTGCTAATTAAGCCGCCAATTACAGAGCACATTAAACTTTCTAATTGGTTTCGGTGAGATAATGGCGGTCGGATACGTAGCGGTCCGAGAGCGTCGCCGCCAGCTGCGGCCCGAAAGGAGAGCGAGGACAGACGGCCAGTCGGAGCAGATGGACGATGCGGTGCGGAGCGACTGACAGACAGACAGATGCTTGAAACAATATTTGGGTAAAAGTGGAGCCTCACCTTGCCTCGCCCTGATTGATGACCATGCACATCTCCCAGGACATATTTTCAGCCACGGCTCCGTGAGGCACAAGGAGGCTGACCCCTGAGGAGAAAACACACACACACACACACACACACACACACACACACACACACACACACACACACACACACACACACACACACACACACACACACACACACACACACACACACACACACACACACACACACACACACACACATCCGTGTTAACATGGGCAGACAAGGCCGCCTGACAGCATGGGGCCAAATCAACATTCAGCTTTCATTTACACTGATTTGTCCATTCTCCCATCAGATCTTTTAACTTGACTGAGATCATTCTTTTTCTGCTGAGCAGGGCACAAATTCTGTTTCAATGTGTGCTTGTTTTCATTTTTAAATAAATTGTTAATGAGAATAAAGAGTAAAAAAACAAAAACAAACAGTTTTCAGGCATGTTAGAGTAGAAGTATTGTCCAGTTGGGGCATTCCGGAGCTCATCGTGGCAAAACCCAGAAAGCATTAGCCTCGTGCTAGAGGAGCTTAAAGGTTGAGGCCAATTTCACGTTAAAATGACGGCGACAGTTGTAGGAGTTCACCTTGCAATCAATGGGTTACAGGTTCTATTCCCACTACATCTGCTACTGTCATTAGCTGCGTTTCCATTGCATGTGCAATTTGACCTTCTAAAAAATACATTTTCTTAACGGAAACATGCCAATTTTGAAACAAACAAAACAAAACCTCTTTTTTTTTTTTCTTTTTGCTAAAATGTTTTGGCAGCTTGAATTTTTCTGTGAAATTGATTTATTCACAAAACTGAAATAGAAACAGTTTTTTCCCCCTGTCACACGAGTCACATGAACAACAATTAGATGTTGTCACGGGCATAAACCGTAAAGAAGAAAACAACAGGAAGAAGTCGGAGGATCACGGCGCAGCATGCTTTTTTAATTATTCATTGCATTAAACTTATTCACATGTGATTTCAGTCATTTAATGGAAACACCGCAATTGACAAGTTGTGATTTCTCATTATTAGTGGAGTCCAGACAAAGTTTAACGCACATGCGTAATGAAAACAGTGTGTGAATGTGTGCTTGAACAGCTGTAATGTGAATTGCTTTGGAGTCCTCTGGACTTGATAAAACACTATGCAAATACAGGCATTTATCTTTTCTTTAACCTTCCTTCTCTCTGGACAGTAACACTTCAGTTCCGGCATTATCTAGTTCATGCTAAGCTTAGCTTTGCTTGTTTGTTTGTTCCTTAACATCCGGATCAAACTGTTCCCCTTCCTCATGAGGTGAACAGTTTGACTGAGATGTTGGAAATCTGGACCTGATTTCTCCGATCTGACGTCCGGTATGACTGGTTGCTTCACAGTTAAATCAAAAACCAAAACACAGTCTGGTGAAAATGGAAGGTAACAAATGTATTAACGGTTATTGTGTAACATGGCCCTCATACCAACATCACCCCACCAAGAATCTTAGACTAGGCATAAAATAACATTCATGTCCATGATGAGAAAACTTCTGACAGCAACTGTACTCAAAGTTTGACGCCCAAGTAAAGAAGAAGGAGAAGAAGAAGAATTCCAAACCTCTTCTCATCATCCATGTTCACTGAGCTGGTGATTAGACAACTATAAAGCAAAGCAAGCGGAGAGACTTTTCAGGGTGTTAGCACATCAGCGCTGTGCCTCTACTGGTGCATTATGCCTTTCATCTGCTGCTGAGCAAAGTGGCGATGCATTTACATGGAGGAGCAAAGAGCATATAAAAGGTCCTGCTTTACAAGAGCAGAGCAGACTTCTTTAAAAGAAGGCTTTTCAATGCCTTGTGGAAAGCAAAACGTTTTGTGAAATGTGAATTCTAACAAGTCTGTTTGGATCAAATAAACAGTTTCATACATCAGACAGGCGGCTCTGTCAGGACCACAGAGGAGGGGAAACATGGAGAACCACATGTCTTTAGTCTTGCTTTTGATAAAGGGTGAGATAAGTTTAAAAAAAATAACAGAGGGTGGCGTGATCACGTCTCCAAGCCAGTCAAAGTCAAAGCAAGTTAGCAACAGCTTAAAGGGGCAGGATTATGTGAAATCAACTTTTTGGAGGTTGACATCATTTTATGATGTTATTCCTCGTGACAAACATGGCTGAAGTGTCGCCATAATTCTCTCAGGCATGTTTGAGAAATTCTTTAATCTCCCATGGTAACCATTCACCTGTGAAGGGTGAACCTAACTCCGCCTTTGAGCTTTACAAGCGCCCCTCCCCTTGACTCTCCCGCTCAGCTCCTTCAGACTAGCCAGCAGTAATTAGCAAACATCCACTGAGCTCATTAAAATGTTAATAGAGGAGCCATGTTGTGGTGACTTCCCAAAGGTGGAGTGTCAAAAAGAGCTGGAGTTTTTAAAGAGACAGAGGCCCAATTTCAAGGTGATAAATTATGAACTCAAAGTTTGTTTAAGTCATATTTTGTATATTCTGCATTTTTATAACAACTGAAGGTAACATGATAACTTGATTGTCCTATAAAATGGATCCATGTGCCTGGGAAATATACAATACTTTTCCTTTAAATACTTTATCCTGATTGAGGTGCTGCAAGTTAAAGCAACATGAACATCAATCATAGCCAACAGCACAACACAGTCATATCATCCAACTATCTTCTGAGTTGTTGATCCTGGAATAATATAAATAACATCCCAGCATCAACATGCTGTGGGGCAGGAACAATCCCCTGTAGCAGTCAGCCTGGCAACAAATCAAAAGAGGCCTCTGACTGAAGACTGTGTGATTGTTTCATTCCCAAGGATCTCAAGAATTTTTTTTAAGACAAAAGTTTTCAAATTAATTTGATGGATAAACTCAGCTTAAGTCACTTTTGAATAACTATGATCACTTGGAAAGTATGCATGACTGAATGAAAATTGTTTTTTTGTAAGTTGCTTTAAGACACCATTTGTTGTGAAATGTCGCAACACAAACTGAATTGAATTAAACGAGAACTAATTTTCACGCAGAGCCCTTGTGAGGACAGAAAGAAAAATACGAGTTGTCTGCTAAAGCCAATACACACTGAGGTCGGCGAAACGATTGGTCACATTGTTTTCTTTTGCGAAAGACGAGAAGTGATTTTCTTCCTCCATTGAAAACCTCTCTGCCTCTGAATCCACACAGGAGCCGTTTCTTTGATAGAAAGTCGCTCCAGTTGCGGCGGGCGTTCAAAGCGAGGTCTGTGGAATAATTAGGGCATAAATTCACGGAGGGAAGCTGCTAGTCAATTTTTAAAAATGTTATCCTAATTTGAATTCAATCCAATCTTTCAAACTGCGATGTGGTCCTCTCCTGCTGTGTTGGGATCCATGGTGAAGCCTCAACTCGACAGGATGCATCTTCAAAGTCTTCGTGAGACTGAGAGATGCTGCTGCGCTACGGCTCGTCGCCGAGGTGACCAAACGCTTCGGTAATCTGTGGCAAAGTGGGTGTGTGGGGTCTGGCGACTCAGGCTGATGAACGGCGGGCCCTGCAGACGCTGCATTTGACGACGGCGGCAACTCCTCGACTCAGATCCTCCGGCCTGCAGGAGGATGATTTCACTTCAGTCCAGAAAGCCGGCCGACGTCGAAGAATGCCACGTTTCGCACACACACACACACGCACACACGCACACACACACACTGTTGTGACCTTCTGGGCAACTGCAACATTTGCTGGAGAGACGCCCTCGTCATTTGTTTTGCATTCCCGCTCACACTCCTCGGTGTGTGTGAACGTCCGATTTAATTGCAGGTCTCGTGTCGGAGGGACTTGACAAACCAGCTCAAGACTCTGTAGTTTTTGTCAACTTTCACAAAATTGTATACTTATTGTGCGACGTAAAAGCTGATGAATTCAATTTAGAGATCATTTATCAATATGCGGCTATAATATCAATACAAGTTTATTACGCATCTATTAGGACAATATCAAGAAGTAGCTTTTCCAGCATCTTTGGTTTAATCCAAGGATTGTTCGGACTTAAACAGGCAAAACTATGAACTTCCCAGACACACATTGCCATTTTATAGCACAATCAAATAACCATGTTAACTTCAGTTGTTATAAAAATGGTACATATATCAAATATGCCTTAACATAAATTTGACTTTGTAATTTGGCGAGTTGAAATTGGGCCTCTGTCTTTTTAAAATCTCCTGCTCTCTCAGAAATGACACAGTACAAGGTGTAAATACTAGTTTTGAATATGAATGTTTCTGAACACCAATGGCAAAAAAAACCCAACAAAAAAACAAAACTCGGATACAAAAATTTCCCTAAATAGTAGGGAAATCTCTCTCTCTCTTTCTCTCTTTTCCCCTGATTCTGGCACCCAATATGTGGCAACCAAAGCTGTTGTTTAATGAAGAGCCACTCTATACAATAACAATATCATGGGTGATTTTTTTCTTTCCTGATGTGCTCACAGAAAACAATGCCAAAGATTTCTTTGTAATTGCACATTCAGAGACAGTAGAAGAAGAGCTGCCAGTGCTTCCAGGCAGGTATCTAGAGGTGCCAGTAATGTGGATAACGGGCCTCACGCCACACAGCAGGATGTTTTCCCTGAAGTCATATCCGAAGTTGTTTGTGCTTCCAAAAAGAAAGAAAGAAAAATAAGAAAACCTCTCAACAACCTGCCAGACAGCAGGGGTGTCCCTGAGAAACACTCTCAATCCTTTATCGTTTTATCATTATTTTATGCTTCTAGAAATGCTGCAGCGGGATTATCAGCCAACCCTGCATGTTGCTTGCAGAAAGAAAGCAACAATGTATAACTACAACTATTTAAAATTGTGCTAATAAACATTTTCACAACTCACAGCCGGAGCAGGCCACCTCTCTTCACCTGGCACAACTCCTGCATGCAACTCCTGCATGCAACTCCTGCATGCAACTCCTGCATGCAGCTTTGCTCTGACATCTGCTCTACATCTGCAACATCTGCAGCAGATGTCAGAAGTTTTATTTCTTGCACATTTCTGATGGCTTAGCTTACCACCCGCCTCCGTGACTAGTTCTAGATCAGGGTGACCAAACCTTGCAATGCTCTTTGGGAACTAGCATTGATTTCTATGTCGCCCGGCTGGAAAAACTAGAATTGTGATTGTGACAAGAAGATAGAAAAGGGTGGATTTCACTTGTCCTTTGCAAACTAATTTTGAATTCCACTATTAATGAAAATGTAGTTTTAGGAAAACCCTATCAAGGCCCAACTCACTGAGAGCTGATCTTACCTTTTAACAAAATAGCTTGAAGTATATGCAGTAATTAAGGGTGAGAATGAGACAAAATCTACAGGTTTCTTGCCAAATAGAGAGCAAAGTATGAGTATTTACATATTTTCTCTACATAAGATAGTAAACCAAGACAGTCTGATACCTCTGCTCTCTTAATTAACGGATAATAAAGACTTATTAATGATTTATAAAGTGTTTACAGTTGAATAGATAATACATTAATAAAATATTCATGAGTCATCTATAAGAGGAGACTCATTGTAACGTGGTACCCACTTTAGCTAGCTGTAAACGTGCTGGCTAATGTTAAAACTGCATGTCAACGGTGGGTAACCACGGAAACCAGTGACAGCTTAAAATCTGGCCAGCTCTTTTTGCACGGATGTGATGTTATTTTGATTATTTTTTTGTGGGGAATAAGTGATGATGGAAGGAATTATTCTGATTTCCATAAATCTCTGACTGATGCATCCCTGATCTCCTCGCTTGCTGAATCATCACACAGGCCGCGTTTCACTGCTGAAAGCAGAAGCAGGAGGTCAGGAGGTCAGGAGGCCTGGAGGTCAGGAGGTCAGGAGGTCAGGACCAGGACCAGCGAGGCAGCAGAGAAAATGCTGGTGTTGAGGAGCCTCTGGAGGCGAACCGCGTCTATCGCACAGTTCTGATGAGAGTGAGAACAGAGCCGGGCTTCAGTCCCCGTCCAGTGTCTCTCACCTGTGTTGGGCACCACCAGCCGGCCTCCAACATGGCCGAACACGCCGCTGGTCCTCAGCTGCTCTCTGCTGCCACTCAGGGGCCCGTTGAGCGTCAGGAGGCCCTTCTTGCGTTTGTCCACAGTGCTACAGAAGTCACAGCTGAGATCCTGTGGGTAAGACTCGCCAGGCGCTTTGGCGTGGAACTCGGCGCGCTCAGCCACGCCCAGGGACACCATGAAGGAGCTCTGGACTTTGACTTTGATGTCCGGCAGCGGGTCAAAGAGCTCCTTGTCGGCGCCGTCGTGGAAGCAGAGCGGCGTGCTGTACGTCCGTCCCACCGTCATGTCGGGCGGCATCGAGGAGTTGAGAAGCAGCGGGTTGCCTGGACACACGGAGAGACACGACACAGTCACGTAAAAGCTCTGTGTTCATGGGAAACGACAGACAGAAAATGACATCCGTCACTGTCCTACTAGGACTTGAATGAGTTTCTGGGATAAAATGATGTGGAAAAGTGTTTCTGATTTTCTACTCTTTGCATGTTTGTCACACAAATCAGGAGATCAGGAACAGAGTTGTAATAGTTTTGGAGTTTTTCTATGTAGCTTAGTTTTTTTTTCTTGTGACCTTTTGTTTGTCTAATGCAGTTATTTTTTGCTAGTTTTTATGAGTTGGATATTGAGTTTTTGATAATTGTAGAAGTGTAATTTTTTTTCATACTTTGCTTCATTCAAAAAAGTCGAAGTATTGTGTTGTGATTGTGTTTACATCGACTAGGTAATGATACCATTTTCAAAAAAATGGATTCAATCATTGCTGAACAACCAAATGCCTGGAGGTTTCTCCCAACTTCAGCTGTCATCGTTTTGCGGTCGAGCCTTAGCGCCACCAGGAGGAGCATGGAGAGCCGTAAACTGCAGACAGTTGACGTAAACTGACGTAAACTGCTTGTGTGGTGGGAAAAAAAAATCTATTTCATTTCAAAGACTTAATAAATAGTCATAAATATAAAAATGTATAATTTCAGTATGTTTTAGTTAGTTTTTTTTTTGTTTTTCAGTTGACAAAAATGGTTTTTAATTCCTGTCACTTCATTAGTTTTAATTAGCGACATTAACCTTGATCAGGAAGGGCACAAATACTTTTTCTCTTCTTTTGATTCAGGATAAACATTTCATATTGCTTAAAAACAAACAAAACAAAGAGCAACACACAGTGTTTTGACTCCTTTCAGTTTTTGAAAATGAATGAAAAACAAATATATTGGAAAAATATGTTGCATTGTTTTTGGACATTTAATATAAAAGATCTGTCGTTTGCTTTTTAATGTTTGGTCAGTACCTATGCACATGATTTAAATTTCTTCCCTTTCTGATAACTGCACAGTATGTTTTATGCTATGATCTTGTGCAGTATATTTTTATTATTAATGTTATTATTGCTAATCTTGTTGTATATATATATATATATATATATATATATATATATATATATATATATATATATATATATATATATATATATATATATATATAAGCATATGACACAATGAAGTTTCCAATTTTGATGTTATAAAATGTCAAAAAGTTCAAGTAGTGTGAAAACTTTTGCAAGTCACTGTTCATTTAATGTGACACATTTTAGTAAAAGCAGAAACTTGAGTCTTACTTTGATCAAATAGAACGTTTTTGTCGTCTCCTGGTGAAGTAAATGTGCTTAAATCAGACTTTATCTGCTTTGGTGACTGACTGCTGAAGTTCAAACTGGATTTCCAGGCAGGACAGGGGAGCACAAGGGCCAAAGGGGCACAACCTGGACAGAAGGTCCAGGGCTCGGAGCCACGGTCAGGGCGTCAGATTTAATTACCAAGCTCACACGCAGCTTGATCTCCATAATCCATCTGCTGGAGTCAGCTCCTCAGGACAACACGGTTGTCCTCCTGAAGGAGAAGAAGGGAGGCCGGGAGGTGTCTGCTCTGTAAATGAGAGGAGTCCTTCAGCCCCCACTGTGAGAATGAGAGTGTGTGATGAGGGTAAGTGGGGGTGGGGGAGCTTAGGTCTTCATCTGTGGCCATTAAATATGGTGAAGCTGCCAAACGGAGCGAGCAGGGCGCCGCATCGATCTGGCAGCGGCACCAAGATAACAACGAAGTCACTGAGTCCTTGCTGCCCAGCTGTTGCCTGGTGAGGGGTGCGAAGCGGGAGGCTAATGTTGTTTTATTTTTAGGAAAATCATTAATTACTGGGGATGGGATCTGTGATGAGCTTTGTGGAGGCTGCTGGTGTTTTCTGACTGGGTCTTTTTTGTCCTGATTTCAAATTAAAACAAAATTCCTGTCAGTAGAAACACACATTGTGTATTCGTCATTGCATAGGACTAATAAACATGGAGTATAAATGTTACGTTCTTATGTTTTGAGCAAAGTAACAATTTAACATAATTCAGAATGCAAATTAAAAGATGACCCATTATGGTAAACCCTCCAAACCACAGGCCATTTAAAGTTAACATGTTCTCCCAAAGGCCTTGGGAGAACATGATGTCTTATGTTTCATGATGTCTTCATTATGAGGATTTTATCTTTCTGATTTAGTTCAGTGTTTTAAGTTCTTGATATCCTGTTTAGTTTTTGTTCAGCCTCATCCTTAGCTGCTGTTTTATGTTTGCTTCTCTGTCTGGTCTTGTGTTTGAATCCACTTCCTTCTTTCACGAGACGCAATAGCAACGGCAGCGCCGGCATCAAAAGTTTAATATTTTCCAACTTTCTCGTGTCACGTCGTTAGCCCGTGTTTGCACACCTGCACGGACGAGCTCAAAGTTTCACGCACACAAATTTCGCCAGTCGCTTAACGAGAGGATGGCGTCCGGCGACCGGGCGTCGCCTTGTCACCAGAGTTCCCCTGAGAAATGAAAGGAGAGGAATCGATGCTGCCTTCTCTATGTTGAAACCTTACGGAAACAAGAAGTGAAGCTTTTTGTGCATCCAGTCTGTTTGGTAGAAAGAGACATGACAAGCATGCCACCGGAAACGATCGAGCTCATTGTAGTTTGTAGTGTGATTAATTGATGTATTGCCTATTGGGACAGTCCTGGTCAGATCCTCTTGATTTACTCCTGAGATTTTATCAACCTCTTCCTGTGTTAAAGATCTATCTAAGGTTTCTGTATCTTCTGGGTCTCTGTTCTACAGTTTCTTGTCAGTCTCTGATTCACTTTATTACCAATTAAAACACATGAACACAATGAAATTACAAAGACTTCCATGTTACAGAAGTTTGCTTCCTCAAATGCTGTGGTGGTTAATCTTTTATACTCTCCCCCAAACCTCCGGCAATGAGGCTTCTCAGCATCATCATGGTGGCCATTTAGCCTCTGGCCTGAAAGCGTTTTAAAAGATACGGAGTCAGCGTTGCCTCAAATGTAAGTAATAGCTGAGAGGTTCCACAGAAATGAATTAAAAACATGACCACAGTTTATTTCTAAAAGCTTCTCGGGGTCTCCGTCGGAGCTGCAGCTCCTCGGACGTCGGCCCGCTGCAGACGACATTCAATCGCTGCCGATTTATTTATTTATTTTTACCTCTGGTCGTGCGGAGAATGATCTGATTATCGCTTGAGTGTGCATCTTTAAGAACGGCGCCGCGCAAATGGAATGGCAGCAGTGAGATGAGAGAAGTTAATGAAATGTACCTCAGGTTGAATACCTTGAGGGATGGCTTTGGAATTGGGCCCCTGATTAAAAATCACTCAGAAGGAGAAGGAATGTGGGAAGACAGGGTCAGGTCCGAGACTCACTCTGCACTCCGCCTCTCTGGAGAAACACCTGAGAGCATTTCTAACAACTTGGAAGCACTTCAGTTTCTTTTTTCTTTCATTATTTATTTATTTATTTATTTTTTAATCCTTCAGGTTAAAAAAACAATGTCTAATTTTGAGAGGCCTTCCATTTGGATGCAACTTTAATATCCAAAAAGTGCTTATTTAAACATGAAGCTTTTTTTTTTTTTTTTTTTTTTTTTTACGTATTTGTTAAAACTGTCACCATGTCTTGACAGTTTGTTATGAGACAGACATCAACAAAAAGATCGATCTCCACATTCTCCCTGAGCTACTATTCCCATCTGAAGAAATGCACCACTCAAGGACACTCCGCACAGGCCTGTCGTGATAAACAATAAATCAATTAATCACACAATAAATTAAAACTATCGACCTCATTTCAATTATCGGCTATATCGTTTCTTCCTGGCTTTTTCTCTTACTGTTGATGACACTGAATGAAAAAAGGCTCAACTCCGGGCAAATCCTTGATTTAGATCGGAACAACGATCTACTGTAACACACAAGTGACAATTTTAGAATGAAGAACGTTCTAAGATTGTCGTTCGGGGTAAAATATCCTGTAGTTTGAACTATTGCATCAGGCAGTCGGATTCTTCTCTATTTAAATCTAATGATTACTGAAGGGCAACATACTATACAGACTTCATAATCTGCACTCTGCAGTATTTATTTCCACTTTGGCTTTATGCTGTATAGTTTTTATTCAAGTACATTTATTGTTAATGGAGACTGAGAATCTATTTTATTTTTGGTTGTTTTATTTATTTTGTGTATCAGTCCCAGTGTTAAGTATCTTTTGAAAGTAAAGTGTATCTACCTTTGGCAGGAAATCGCATGTATTATTATGTAATTTCCATTAAATCAATGAAAAAAGGTCTTCAAATAATATTATTGTTTATCATAATAATTTTTTGAGACAATTAATCGCCCAGCAAAATCTGTTACTGTGACAGGCCTAACTTCGTGTCATTGACTTGCTAATGGAAGAGAAACAATTTAGCCTTTCCAGAAAACTGTCGATCCACCGTCTTCAGTGGCTATGCTAACTAGCCTTAGCATTAACGGAAAAAAGAGCCACGTTCTTTTTCTGATTGGGTGTTTCTAGTTAGCACTGGGAGAAGGAAGAGGAGCTCGATTTTTTTCAGATTATTTGTCTTGTTCCATACTGTCACAACATAGTGACAGTTTCAAAAAACGTTCATAAAAATATGTTTTCAGAAAAGTTAAATACGGCAGCTTCAAAAGGTAAAATCTTTTATTTTTCCCTCAAAATCAAGTAGGCCAATCGAGAGGGGGGAACACCTTAAAGACAAACTGGGGCTGTTGAGCAATAAGTAGAGAAGAGAGGAAGGCAGTGCTCCAGATTTCCCAGGGAGTCTCGACCCGGCTGCTAAACGGAGAGGAGGGATTGTGTCCGGTGGAGGGCACAGCAGGCAGGCTGCACAGAGAACTGGCCTATTTAAATGCGATTGATGACCTGCTGAATGCAGCACTCTGCACATCTTTCCAATCTCAAGACGCAGCACTTGGGGGCGGAGGAGGAAGGACGGGGGGTGGTTCATGACCAGCTCTCCAGGCCTCTAGAAGCCTGGAAGGGGGAACCTGTTGGGGGCGTGTGGCTGGATGGATCACCTGTCTCCACAATGACTATCACTAGCACTAACCCAGAAGTGTCACGGTCCTGCAATATGAATGCCTGTAGCATGGCTGGCTGGGAGAGCAGCAGTCACATGGGCTACAGAGGATATTGCTGTGCACAACAAAAAATGAATTGATGATCACTGTTCCACACCCCCCTCCATCCCACCCCAACCCTCCAAATCCCTCATTTATCCACCAGTGGGTTCATGCTGCTGTAATCTGAAGTAGAAGATTGGTGGACCGACAGTTGGACGCACCGTCCAGAGGGAGGCGGGCTGAGTGCTGCTGTTTTCTATCAGAGATTGATTATCTCCTGCAACAGAATAACAGAGGTGCAGGTCTGTCAAAACAGATGGACAGGTCCTGTCACTGATTATTGAGGCATAAATCTCACAGCGATAGGGAGGCTGCAGCCCATTCTGCTTAATGCAGGCAAATGCCATCAATTGCACCGCAGAGCTCTCTCTTTCTCTCCCTCGTGACGTCGCCTGTTGGCCTTGTGTTTGCTCTCTGTTGATGACACTACATTTTATAACCTTGTCACACTATTATGTATCTGCCTTGGGTGTCAAGGTGAGAACATCAGCTGCCTTAGGCAAAAAACCTTCCAGCATCACCACAAATCAGATATATAATGCTCAGCAGGGGCTTACTTGGAGTTGCCAGACATTTTGGCATATATGTCACATTTCTGAGAGGTCAAACACAGCAGTCAGGTACAATCTTCTGGCCTCTGACAGATGTGCAAAATAGGAACACATGATTATGATGTGATGCCCATCAATGTATCTTTAACATGTTTTGGGTCTTTGTGTTCTGGGAAGGACCTTTGGCTCAATGTCAGCTGTTTCGTATCTTCTAGTTTCCACTACAGGAACCTCTGGCAGGAAGCAGCGAAGATTTCTGAGGTTATTAGTATTGTTTGCCATTTCCACGCCAGTTAATAAACTACAAACAACTACATTGGGTAAAAAATTACCCCAGGAAATCACCCTTGTAGGGAGGAAATACTTCATTTACTTTGACTAGAAGATTGCTGTGAAGGGATCATAACAGATCATAACAGATTTTTAGGATTCTGCTGTACGCGTGTGTGTTTTATGCTCAATTCAAACACGTCTGCACCACATTTTTTAAAATATATGCGTATGTTACAAACTTTCACAGATTTTTGAAGGGATTGCAATGCAGTGTCCCTGTGTAATCACTGTGAAATGACCACAACAGCAGGTTTTAATCCTTGCTGCAGCTGTTTCTCCTCTTCTCTTCCCTTCGTCACTCCAGTAGCGAGGTAACAACATATTACTGCAAATTTGAGATCCACCTTTTGAGTGCATATAAGCCACAATGCACAAAATTTTGGTTATAATTATTCTTTTTTTTTCCCCATGGTTTTATTATCAGAACACTGGATTTGACCAGCCTGGGGAGTAGAGGTCAGTGTCTATCAAATGTCATCCAAGGAAGCAACAGTGTTGTGCAGGCAACAGATTCATGGGTGACCAAAGTTCACTGTTGCACATGTCAACTGAAAGCTGGCTCCAGCTGCAGAAGAAGTTTATAGCGGTTCTGACAGGAAGGTGTTAGAAGACACACAGCATCAGTTTGCTGTGTTTGGAGATGCATGGCTGCAAGAAAGTCAGGTGCCCTGTGCTCACTCTTGTCCATTGTCAGAAGAAAAAACAATGGACATCGTGAACCAGAGTAATGAAACTAAGTCGCTGCTAAACCATGTTTTCTGGTGCGTAGTAGAGTGTGTGTGAGCTGTTTAACTGGAGGACACTGGCTTCGTCCAGTGACGATGATAAAGGTCCAGGCAAGCAGGACCAACAGGAAGACTGTCTGAGCAGATTTCAGAAAATCTGGATGAATATCATTAACGTAAAACATAACTAAGCACTTGCAAACAAAGTGCTTCACTGACTGGTGCCACCATTTTTGAAACACTTTGTTCAGTTATAATTCTAATCCAATAAAATCACAAATGCAGCCAGTAGGGAGAAATACAGTATATCTTTCAGGAAAAGCTCCTTCAATTCTCATAATGTTATGTCTGATTGGTGTATACATCACATACACATCAAATGTATTAAATGTGGTTGCTTTGAAATGTTATCAGTAATGCCCGATTATCACTCTAATGCTATGCTATGCAGATGCTCTGTCTGCACTAACGAAGATTAACAAATCTCAAACCAACAGCAGTCCAACATGGTTTCAGAATAATTTAATCAAGACTTATTTGACAATGTTTTGTAATTCAGAAGGTCATGCTCAAAGGACCAGTTTTTATTAGATTATGAAATAAAAAAAAAAAAATCTAATTAGATGCTGAAACCATTGAACAAAAATGATGCATTTTCTCCATTTTTTTTTTACAGCTGGCCTTTTTGCAACACCACAACACACAAGGTAAGGAGAAGAAGAAGCTTCACCTTGTCTGGTTGTCTTGAAGTTGAAGGACTGGAAACCCCCAGTGAGAGCTGAAGAGTCAATGACATCAACACCGTAGTCGCTGTGGTTCTTCCTGTACAACATGACGGCTACAACCAGGATTACCACGGCAACGATTCCTGCTCCGAGACCCGAGTACAGAGCCACGTCGATGGAGCTCTCCATGTCTGCAAGACACAAAAACAGGAAAGAGTTCTAATATAGAAGTAAACTTCCTCCGATTTTAAACAGTTTATTGTGTTTGTAATGTTAAGTAAGCGAAACATAATAGTTCTACCCAATTTGATTTGTTTGTGCTGCTGTGTTGAGGATAAGGCCAGCGTGTTTATGCAGGTTGTGAAATCTGCATGACTTTAGCGTGACCTGAAGTGGGCTTTTCAAAACAAAAGAAAAACGTGGGGGTGTAGACGCAGAGGAAGGAAAACATCCATGGCCTCTGGTGGCCTCTGGAGGTCGCTCACTCTCCCTGCTCGTGGCGTACATTACCTACCAGAAGCAGAGCTCACCTGAACTGGAGTGTGGGCGGCTGAGTTACATTGTTGTTGTACATAATAGAGTTCAACTATGTGGTGCAAACATGTAGATGCTTAGTTTGCTGCATTGATTTTGATATGCAGAGCCACAAAAAAAAAAAACAACAGCACAGAATCTTTAACTTGTTAGGGTCTACAGATTCGTTAGCTACACTTGTTCAATTGCTTTTAAACATGAGGTAAAAATCGAACATCAGAATATAGAAGAGAGATTTAACTGAGTGAAGGTGGTGTGTTCTTTGGTGTTTCTGAAGCTTTCCCCAACACACCAATTCCTCAGGACAATATTCAGTTTCTACCTGTTATTAAATTCCTTGTTGATGACAAAGGGAACAATCTGCATGGTTTAAGATGGGAAGTCAACTGTGGCGCAAACAACCAACTTTAAAGCAGCAGAAGACCACATCCACTGATGCTGGTCGTCTAAGATAAGAAGAACGATGGAACAATTCACAGAGGCTCAGCATGGATCAGTTCTGTCTGGTGTCAGCACTTAACATCCAACTTAAACCTTTAACCCAGTGAAACTGGATTCGTTGGTACTTTATACTACGACATCTTTTTCAGTCATAGGAAAAAACAAAGTACACCTTTGCTGCATCTCTGGAGTTTAAATGGGGTTGCTGTAATGGCGCTGCTTTCCAAAGACACATGATTAATTAATCATCAGCTGAGTGTCTCCTTTAAAGCAGGAACATTAATGTAGAGCGTTGAGGTTTTCTTTTTTCTGTGGTATTAAATATACGATTCTTAACACATTACTTGGAATCAGTCATTTATTTTCTGAGATGAAACCGTCTTAAAGATGAAAGAGGAGTGTCTTTGTTGTATGAATAAAGACCCACAGAGAGTGAAAAGGACATGATGCAAGGTGATGGAGCCAAGCCTGTTATTATGTAGATGTTCAAGGGCAAACTCTGTCAGGAGTAGGACTGCATCACAGAACGGAAAGCTGGAGAAATCCTGTGCTCTACCTCTCAAAGTTCGAACAAAATGGAAACCGATTGTCATGCCGTCCATAACTCTAACATGTTTCACTGGTGTTGCCTTAGTCCGCTCTGGTCAGACTGTAGCAGATTCGGAGCGATTCTCTGTTTTTTCCACTGACATTTTGTACAAGCCACGCCAAGCCAGGTAATGCGCAGAAGAGATTTGACTGACAGCAGACTGCATTTGTTGATTGGCCCGCGATTTAAGTCCCAACATCTCAACCATCGAACATCTTGACCGGCGGACAAACCGTCTGCTATCAGAGAGCTACTCGGCATGGAGAAGTGTAATCTTGTGCACATGCGTCAACCTCTGTCGTAGAGTGACTATGATACAGCAAACATTAGGTGTCTCTGAAGAACAGAAAGCTATGAAGAAGAGAGAAACGGTGCCGCTCTGGTCAGCGTTCTGTTGGAGCTAGTCGGTTCGAAGCATCTGAGATACATAATATTAGCTTTTGCATTTTAGTCTTTGTTTAGATTTTTCCTTTCAACAAAGTGGACATTGCTTCACAATTTTTCAATGCATTACCCAAATTCAAAGGTTGCACATATTTAAAACAAAATAATTTGCCTCAATAAAGATAGTTTTGTATGAACAGAAAACTAATCCGTTATTCTGAATTATTTTCAACATGTCTGAACCAAAACAAAGAGTTCATCAAAACCAAAACCTTTAAGTCCTCCACTGATGAGTGTCAGTGCAAACATCACCAGAGAGCGTGGTTAGTCTTTACAGTATTCTTATCACTACAGTCTCAGTAAAGTATGCAATACATTGTAGATGTGCAAATATATTCCTTCTTGCACTTGAACTAAAATAATTCAATTACATTCACAGTTGCTGCTGCACTTCAGGCCATGAAATCAGTGCTCATGTTGACCATATTATCACATATTAATAAGCATTACCTGCTTAAATGTACATTCCTATTATTAATTGTGCAACGTATTTGTTTAAAAGAAAACAAAAAAAGAAAACAAAACAGACTTTTGTCTTTTTAGTGCTGTTTTTTTGTGCCATTTCTGACATTTACATTTACAACGTTCACAATAAAAAGAGTCTTTTGAGACACGGGTCACTTAGAATTTAACCACATGTGTTCAATTCTCATTGCAGCAGTTTATCACATCATTATCCTCCTCATTGCATGACTCTCAGAAAAAAAAAAAAAAAAAGATTTGTTGACTATGTAATTTGCAGATTGTTTTATTGCCAGATACTGAACTGGTTCTCCAGAATAGAAGAAAAATGGTAGTAAGTGGCTTTCTACCAAGATGACGGGTTTCCAGGGTAACTTCCTTTCAGTCCTGACTTATTGGAACCATGTGTAGAAACGCTACAGCGTGATGTCACGCGCAAGATCCCGCCCCTCAGCTTCCTGCTGGATGGCAAAAAAACTGCTTGCTGATGATGACTACCTATTGGTGTTAACTGTAAAGTTGTCAATACGATGTGTTAAATCTTAAATGTATGTGAAATACGTGTAAAAGAAAATGGGACAGAGTGTTCTGCTACTATATTGTCAATACTATCAGAACTAGATCACAAGGTCAGGAAAATGTTTCAAATTAAAAATAAATAGCTATTGAGAGGGAAGTAGGTCAGTAATGCTAGCTTGACTTTGACAAACTCAGCATGTAGATATGCTGTGGAATTCGGTGTGTTCCATGTGATCTACAGACCAACTCTGACAGATCACCACTAGAGCAAGTGTTGAAATGAGCTAATCTAAATTAGCTACAATGTGGCAGCGAATCTGTCACAGAAATCACTAGTTAATAATTTAATTAATAATCGCAAAATAACCATCCAACCTGCAAACATAATACTGCAATAGACCGAATGCTCTGTTCTTTGTTTGAATCCTGACGCATTTGTGGTGCTGTTGTCTGTCGCTATAGTAACAAGTCTGAGTGTAGTGCAGCCAAAATGAGTGTGAGAAAAAAAAAAAAAAGCACAAGTGGTTTTGAGTTGTTCATCAACAGTTTTTCAGCTTATTTTTCCTCCAGGCCTCCAGCATTGTGCGCATGCATGAAATTTCCAGATGTAAACAAGAATATGCAGCGTATCCTCAGGGAGAGAAAAAGGAATTCTGTCTCCACAAAATTTCTGTAATAATTTTAACAATTCCATTTTTCCATAAACTTTGTTTTAACTCTATATCCATTACACAGTGTAGTCGCTGAGACAACTTTTTTTGTGCCCATTGACCTGTGTTTCCCCCCAGATTGTGTCCAGACTAGACATGATGGTCAGAAGCTGACGCAGTGAGAGACAGACTAAATCAAGCTGATTCAGATCGCTCCTTGCCAGAAGATCGCAGTCCAGCAAAATGCACTTCCTGTTCTCATTCGAAATACACTTACAGCCTGACAGCAAAGGAGCAGGGAAGATTTTACACTAAATTGCCGAGCTAATGAAAACACTCAGGCTACAGTAGAGGCTTGCAATCACTTTAGCGGGCCGAATCCGGCGCGTGATTGAGAGCTGCCACAGGAATGGCAGGACAGTGCAGTAAATTGGACAAATTAGCTCGTTTGCAATGATTACAGCCCATTAATCCTCCACAACGCGGCACATGTTCACTTGTCACAACCAATCCATCTCCTGGCTCAAAGTAGAAACACAGCTGTGATGTCACGGTTGTCATAAAAAGTCAGCCGCTGAATAATGACGGAGAATGCGTAATGAGCGTTTGCTGGGTTAATTTCTGGAGCCGCTCAGATCAAGGTGAACTAAACGGTTGATAATTCGTGATGTTTCTATTTCCAGGCCGCGTGCTGGGAGCGTGAAAGAGAGCCCGTCACTCTACTTGTTTTCTTTTCCTGCCAGCTTTAAATTTAAATCATCTGCTGCCCTCAGATTTCAGGGTAAATTACACGTAAGTGACGGATGGGAGGCGTTGGGGAAGGAGGGTGAGAGGAATGGGGATGGGGGAGAAGAAGATGAAAGAAATCCACAGAGGAAGACTCACTTTGAGGTTTAACATCATGTAGCAGCTTTCGATCTGCAAAGACAGAGAAATAGAATGAGACAAAGAGGAGAGGAAGTGGCGATTAAAGTGCAAGCTGCTGTGAAGTGCCTAACAAGTGAGGACTCAAAACGCAGACACCCTGAGTAGGAGGACACTCTCCTGCTGATTGAGCTCCAGAGACCGGACAGAAACTGATGATGGGGGGAAGACGCTGCTACTGTCCTCGTCCAACCACAGGAGAACGCAGACAGGAATCTACTGTACGTTCACACTGCAGGCTATCATGATCAATTCAGATGCTTTTGTGAGATCTGATATTTATTTTTTGCACGGTCGTCCAAATTTCCAAATACAAGCGGCTTGTATGTGATCTTCTGCGTGAACTGCAAGCAACCTGAAAATGTCACGCATGCACGGTCGAGGACGCGACGACGTCAGAGGACAGAATCCAGAAAAAAATTCTGAAAAATTCTCTTTTTTTTTTTAGAGATCTGGATCATAGCCAGTACTTCTGTCTCATAGGAGCAACGGTGACACACATTGATATACATCATGTATTTCCAGCAGCAGAATCATCCCAAAAGAGAAGCAAATGTACATTATGAATGAAAAGGGACACGTCAACCGGCTGTAGTGACCCAGTCAATGAGGCCTGTCTATGAGAGGGACAGTAAGAGAAATGGAAGCCCACAATGCTCGATGAGCTGCAGCAGACCGCCATGAGATGATAAAGTCAGACAGGAAGGACTATCCTAAGTACATGCTGAATCATCTTGTCTACTCCCCTTTTCCATCTTGGTGTAATCTCTTTTTTTTTTGTTGCTTTTTTTTTTAATAAATGATGATGTGAAATGCCAAGTTTCATGTAGCTACTTGGGCTCAGATTGAAATACTTTTAGAGCTTGGTAAGGTCAAGATTATTATCTGAACACCCCAGAGTGATTTGTGCTGATACTGCAGGTCTGTATGGCTCAGCAGGACGGAGGCAGGCGTGGTGGACGGTGTTGACTGTGAAGAGTTTGCCTACAACTACGGGATGGCAACATGGAAGTCGGCCACACTCTGGCTAACATTACTGCCATCAGTTTTGTCGTCCACAAGACTCTGTTAGTTGTGGTTAAAAATGACTGTTCTGCTAACGTTGCTGAAGACTGAAGGAGCATGAAGAGAAGGAATAAGACATGCAGACGAAACACAGAGGTCAGACTCACTGACCTCACATGCTGTTCAAAAAATGAATTAGAGAAAACATAAATCATACTTTAAAAGGGGACAAATTTACAGCAAAAAAGGCTGGAATGATGGACAGATGCATTATTAAAGTTCAATCTAAAAATGCACAGAGAAATCACCTCCTGAATAAAACAGAGTTAATGTGTCTTTAATCAGGCCTCACTGGTGATTGGAGTGTCTGAAACAAAACAAAAAAATCTAATGTTTAATGTCTAGAATCTAGAGGGCCACTTGAAAAGCTACGGCGGGCCGGATTTGGCCCACGGGCCTTGAGTTGGACACGTGTTTTAAAGACTCAGATTTTATTACAGTCTGCACTTTTCATTTATCGTTTCAGTTTGACATGCATTATACGAGTGAGCGGTAAGAAGCATATTATTGTCATGCACTGGCAGCCTGTCAGTCCGCAGACACAGCGCCTGTTCAACATGCTGGTGATGAACTGTCCTGTGACAGAGGGCGTTAGTATGGTAACCACGACAACAGAAGATGATGGCGACACCCGGGGGGGAGACGGCCCTTACTCTGGGTGCACAGTCCGTCTGTGCAGTTCTCGGTCGCCTTGCTGCTCCCTTCGCACGTTTTGCCTCGGTGTCTGGGCGCCGGGGAGCTGCATTCCCGACTCCGCTGCCGTTCGCACTGGCTGCTGCACACCGTCCACTCGCTCCACTCGTCCCAGCCGCCGTCGACTGAAAGGCGAAGGCGCACATTGGTCACAAAGGTGGCAATGATTTAAGAAGCTTTTAAACATATGAGGCCCTAAAATCAGTTGAGATCGGAACAATTGTAGCACATTTTTGAAGATGAACTGAATTATCAACAGGAGCTGTAGTGTGCTTTTTGTGAAGATGTCACTTTGTTTAGTTATATATCTTTTACATTTCAAAACCAATGTGTTCAAAAATTAGGATTATTATTCTGCCACAAAACAAAAAGGGACCTTGGATAATGGCTGCTGTAATTCCTCTTGCCACATACATTACCATACCAGGAGTAGTGAGACACACCTTCATTTAATTGAATCAAGACCTATTGAGTCACTTCCTGTTGTCGTTGTTGAACTCTGTGGATCACACAGGTTTCTTGTCATAACATTATAACTATGTCATCCCACAGAAGCATTATCGTTTTTCCAAAAGATTAGTTTTTATTTATTTTAAAGCCTAAACTGAAAAAAAATAAAACTGTGGTTCTGTAAATTTGACAAGGTTCTTAGATTGCTAATCAGAAATTCTGTCTTTTTTAAAGGGACAGGTAATATTTGTGTCTCTAAAGGAGTTTTATTTAACAAGACTGAAGATGGCTCTTTGGATTGGAAAGGTTGCACTTTAGCAATATGAGCTCATCTTTCACCTGGACAAATGAAAACATATTTATATATCAATTGTTCTGTCAAGAGCTGATCTGATGACAAGAAACTCCTTTGAGTTCACTTCACTGGAACAGGATGTTTGAACCTCTGCAGCTAGTAGGAACTCATTTCTGGGGAGCAAAACCCTGAACATTTCTGGGGTCTATTTGTGGCTCTTGGCAGCAGCTTTTCTCTTCTCACACTGCATGTGGCTCTACGCCGGTTTAACCCCCACAGCGCCACGCCTTTTTTGCACAGAACCTGTGCATTAAGTTATGGGTTGGCAACAAAAGCGAGGCAGGGATGAAGACGAGCGCCATGCTGCCATATTTACAGAAAGTGGATGCTTTTCTCCAGCAGCTGCACAGACAGGCTCAGTGTGGCAGATAATGCACAGCGAGGTGTGGTGGGACAGCCTGAGACATATTTCTCCTCATTAACCCCTGGGCCTGTTTATATAATGAGATTTGATGCGAAGCAATGAAACCAAGACAGCCTGGCGCATGCTAATAGCAGCAGATCTTCCTCTGTGCTCCGTCATCTGATCAAGGAAGAGCTCATCATGCTTAGCTTAACAAATACTGGGCGACCAGATGGCGCCGGAGGACTTCTGGCAGTGGTTGTGATACCCCCCCGCCTCAGAGCAGTGTGGGTGGTGGAGTGGGCTCTTTTTCCTTTGTGATTATTTTTTTCTTGGCTCTTGCGATTTTTCTCCTTTGTTACTTAAAATGCTAGTGAGATCGCTTGTATGTTGGGAGTGTGGCTGACCACCTGTGATTCTGTGGCCTGAGCTCGTCTGTCACCAGCCAACCAACAGCGTCAAACTGAAACCTGCTGAACTTTGTTGTTGCGTTCTCAGCCATTATTTCCCATTTTCATTGTCAGCAGCCCCCAACTAAAGCTCCTGCCTTGTTCCAACTGGCTTCCTCTCCCAAGGAGATCCATCACTCCCTCACCATCACCTGCTTGTTGCCTCTGATCATGTGGTCTCCATCCTCTGTATTTGTCCTTCATTCTGGCCAAACTTGGCACAACGTTCCAAAGTGAAACTGACTTCACCTGCCAAGAGATGTTTGTTCGTGCCTACGGTTCAGCCTCGTCTGCTTCTTCCTCCTCCCACAGTGACAGAGCGATGCTGACAACAGAGCAGAACCGGGTTTCCCTCACTGCTGCGTGCCGCTGTGGACGTCTTGGAGGCATTCAGGCAAGTTTCTGGGAACACCAGACACCGGCCTCCAGCTGTCAGCAGCTGACCGGCTTCTTGACTATCCACTAGCAGCAGGTAAAGCTGGGGAGCACCTTCACCTGCACAGTGGGCAGCGGTGTCTCCCCACTCTCCTTTCCGCCTGTACACAGCAGCTGCGTTTCCATTAACTATAAAATTGGGCAAATTGAAATTATGAAAATAAATTCACTTAAGGAAAATACAGCAGGGAGGTTTTCAGACATATTGAAACACTTTTTTCACATCATGTGAGTCTTGTGATCAGCAGCTGGATGTCACTGCTGGCTCCACCAGAGCGCTCGCATCATCACACAGTTCATAAATAGTTGTGTGTCATTCAAATGACACAGCTCTGCTGTGAAATCGGCAAACACATTGTCCCCAAAACGCCTCGCGGCCGTTCCCAGGTAGGGGGGCTTGTTGCTCCAACACACGTCCAACACTGACGTCGACTCTGATTGGCTGAAAGACGATGAGCGCCAGCAGCACCATGACTGAGTTATGAATATTTCATATCACTGTTTATGTCTGTCGCTGCCATGATTTCTCATTACTTATCACGTGAGCAAGCTTCTTCTTGTGTGAGTTAAATGTCACTGCAATTCCGAAATTGTTTTTGTTTTGACAAATATTGAGAAAGGTTTGCGGACATTTGCAATGGAAATGAAGCCAGAGACAGAACCTGAAACCTGCAAATGACACCACTGACTGGTCTGACCCACTGGTGCATCTGCATCCAGGAAGGTGGGCAGATTGGCTGGACCAGCGTTGTGGTCAGAACCACCTGGAGTTTAATCTGCTCAAGGCAAGAGATGAGGCTGGACCTCCAGAGAACCCCAAACACACACACATGCACACACTCCTCACCCTCACCATTCCCAACAACATGTGTTTATCATTTCCTGTTCCCAGGAAGAAGAACCAGCAGAGTCCAACTTGACTGCTCCTCTTCTTCTACACCATTATTCGGTCTGCCCTGTGTTTGTCCATCACTGTGCGGCTTGGCTCACCTACAGAGCAGGACCGGACCGGCCCAGCCCAACTCCGGACCGGCCCAGCCCAGCCCAGCCCGGACCGGCCCAGCCCAGCCCAGCCCGGACCGGCCCAGCCCGGACAGCCCTGACAACAACAAACAATCAGTTCTGCAGAGACGATCACAAAATCTTACCAAGTATGTTTGGTCTATTTTCTTGTGCAGATACATTAACGCACTTTAAATAAGATAAAACTAACTTTTCAGCAAGATATAGGAGCTCGTTTTTAGCAAATAATTCCTTAATGTTGATGAAAAGTGTCTTGTTATTTAAGTGGCAATCTAAAGAGGAAAAATTAACATTTTACTTTGGTGGATTTGAATAGGGTGAAGCAAAAACTGGCAAAAATATTTATAGACAAATGTGTTTTTTTTTATTTAAATGCAAAATGTATATTTTTTTTCGAGCTGATTTGGATTAACCACTGCTCTGAATATATGTTTGCAGCAAATGGCCTTTTTGTTGAGTCTGTCGTTACTTCAGGGTGTTGAGAATTATTTTAATAATTGATTCATCTGATTAGTCATTTCAGAGCCACTTTATTCATGGTTCTGTTTTGTACAACCTGCCAAAGAGAAAATATTCACAAGCTGAAGTTTTTCTACATTATTTCTATCTTTGTTATTATTTCTAGATTGTGAGGTGGCGCCTCGAGTCATTTTCATTTGCATGTTGCAATAAGTAGACATTGTGCAAATGAATAAATATACATAGTCATATAGCATATGACTCCCACTCATCACTGTTATTGATTGGTAAAATTAAAGTTCAACCCTGAAGAATAACCCGGATCAAGACGATTATTTATGTAAACTCATAAAGATGATAATGCAACAACAGTTTAAAAATGTGAGGCAATTACTGAAAAGACAGTTAAACATATACTACTTGAAATTTTCCTTTCTAAAAATCAATAACGCTTTAAGTGCTTTTCATTGTGTTTGAACATTGCATTTGGCTGTCATGAATATTTATTATGTATACTGTGATCTAAGAGTACATCTGCGAAGGCTCAATGATTTGCATACAGCATAGAGAACATTTCATATTCAGTGTCGGGGCCAAAACATGTCCAACCCAAACCCAGAGTCCAACCGGCTTTATCACGCTCACGCAGAAGAAAACGCAGATTTACAACAGCTGTGGTAAAGGAACTACATTTTTGTGAAACATCTTTGCAGTGCTGAATACAGTAATGTAAAAACAGGAGCTCCAACTTTGATCGTTGTTAGTTTAGTTGCTCATTTCCAACACTGATCTGCTTCACTTACCATAAATACGGCCATTGGTCATCCACTAGTTTAAACGAACTGTTCAGTAGTTGAAACTGCAACACGATTTCCTTCACTACAGCAAACTAGTATCGACACCAAGGAGCTGCCGTCAGTATTAACCCTGGAAGTGTGTGGCTCTCATAATGCGATGCTTTGTGTGAAATACGTACATGAAGCAGAGCATTTATACAAAGGATTGCCTGCAGCACAAAGTTTGATGGAAACAGGCAACTGTGAGAGAACAATAAATAATAAAGCAATAAAACAATCTGCAAAAAAGTGTTAAAGAAAAAAAGTAAAATGTATTTACATGTGTGATCTAACTGAGGTTTAGGTTTGCATTACCTTGTGTCATATTGAGATTCATGCTGTGAGAAGTCATTGTGTGAAACGTTATGAAAGTTTCTTCTATGATATGAAACAGAGACGCACATGTTTTCTGTAAACTGAAATTGTTTTTGAGGAATACAGAGGTGTTAGCATAGCTGCATGGCCACACTCCACATCACCATAACGGCATATTGATTTGTAGAGTTCTGAGGAGATGTATTAAATATAATTTAGAATAAGTCTCTAACACTGAAACACTGAATCATTTCCGGATGAACTATATCTGATCAAATGTGCTGAAACTCCCTCTGACCCCCCCCAAATTAAATCAAAATAAAAATACTGTTACATTCGCAGGTAGATTTGCGCAGAAATTTATTAGCATCGTGTCTCTCCAGAAGCACCTTACTGCAGAATGTTGGCCTGAGGCAGAACATGCAAAACAAGGAATACTTCATCAAACCTGACAAGCAAA